AAGCGCCACTCCAGGTGCAAGAGGTCATGCGGAGTGCTACTGACTGGGTTTTAGCATCACAGCAAATGTTACCTAAATTGGAGCATTGCGGTATAAGTGATGATGAGAAAGCCGTGAGGAATTTGAGCAGGTCGGCAATCACTGTCTGGATTCTGCAGTGCTTTGTTGATCATAGAGATTTTTAGAGAGGTTTACCCAACGCAAAACTTCAATGGACACCCGTTTAAAGCAATTACAACAGGATCCTAGTAAGATCCTGCACAAAACGTATGTTCGGTGATAGCCTGAAAACGAAGTGTTCATTTAACCTTAACAGTTAAGTACCATGCTGGTGGCGAAAGTATTCCGTGGTCGCCGATTTAACCACTTTGGATAGCAAAAATCAGCATGTTTGTTTTAAGGGTCCTTCCTCTTTCAGAGACTGTTTGGCTACTGAAGGTATGGACAAAGAGAAGGGAGATCGGAGTGACCATTTCTAGCTTATTAACCTTTATCAGCCAGTCATACCCAATCACACGTGTGGTTCGCTTGAGATTCGAACCCAGGATCTTTGATCATGGAGTTTGGCCCACTACCATTGGGCCACAGGCCCGTTATCCTGTCGGTCGTGATCCGGAATATCAATTTTGACAGATGGGCGCTCACCGATCAGATTACGGAACTTGCTGTGTGAATGTGATTGTGTCCGATTGTTGTGGACAGCTCAACAGATACGGTCTGATATGAAACAAGCTCAACTACATATGTATTTGCGAAACTGCTGTAGAGAGTATTACGAAGTATTCTCTACACGAGGAGGTAGAAAGATAAGCGGCCACCATTTGATCGCTCTGGGAGTCCAAGGTCGCAAACTTCGTTATTGCCAGGACTGTTTCGACAAAAACGACACAGCTATCAGTACCCCGGTCGCAGAAAATAACAGGCTGCATAGAGCCTATCATGGCCGTCTAAACGAGGAAACCAAGGCGGCCTTCCATCAGTGTCGCCGCCTTGCGCAGCAATGACTGCGAAAAATACAAGGTGCCTAGGTCGGCAGTGATATGCCGACTGCAATGAAACAAAGAATTTCGTCGATGCTATCATGGCGCTCTACAGCCTTTCAAAGAAAGTAACCGCGCTGCTTCTGAGATCTGATGGCTCAACGCTTCTAATGAGGAGGTCGCAGATTATGTGGCACTGTGCCGAGCACTCAATAAGCGTCCTCAGCCGCTCCTCTGCAATCTCCGATGCCGCCATCGACCGACTCCCCTAAGTGGAAAACGACATCGACATGCATCTCCCGTCCTAGCTTCCAGAAACCATTCGAGCCGCTCCCCAGCGGAAAACCATCAAGCAGCGATGCGAACCCAGTCGAAAGCTGTTATTCACGACGCTAGTCTGCGTAATGTGGCGACTGGAACAGGTCTCTCAGGACTTCAAAGACGCGACCACCGTCAAAATCTACAAATGCATAGGACACCGGCAACTATGTAACGATCACAGGAGCAGCCAGCATGGCAGCTTTAGGGTCATTCATATCTCAAAAATGCCTTGACTACTGCAGGTATTCCTAACAGGTGTCTTTAAAGGGGGAGAGTGTCATGGGCATATTTTCGGACACCCGACTGCTAGTGAGAAAATCAGCAGAAACGGCCTTATATGAAGTGCATTCATCCACATTAAGCGGTTTCTAAAACACTAGATTCTCCATAAGTCAACCGCATATAATCGCGACTGGACGGTACATATAGTTGCGCTACACGTTCGTCATTTGGTAGTCAGATTTGGACAGTCGGCTGATGCATTAAAGAGATTTAAAAAAGTCCGTTGACATTGAGGAATCTAGGCAATGCCAGGGGTATCTCTACGACCACTATTCTCTCTCACCAATGATCTGGCATAACAAAGTGCTTTGATATTTCGGATGATGAGACACTCATAACATTGCATACATTAGACCTTTTCACGAGGTTTCTTGAGAACCATAAGTAAAGCTGAGTACCTAACATCTGCTCAGATTGTTAATTTAAGACTGTCTTCCACAGTCTGGTATTGAGCGCGGGGGGCTGGACGTAACGGTTATCCCTGAGGCCTCCCAGATGACAAGTGTCCTCGTCGTATGGCATTGCAACACCTCTGGCCAAAACTCTGCCCTCCTACAAGCGGAAACTACATAGGCTATAAGACTTCTGCGACATGGAATGTACATCCGCGCTATTTCTTCATGTGAAAGACACTATTCTAGCTACTTGAACAGAAAAACGTTACCAGTTATCTGAACCAGACTGAATTATGGCAAGTGGTCAATGCGTTCTGCCGAGTCTTCGTGATCTCATAACACGCCGTAAACATAGGCCTTCACGGCGAACCAGTTACTGTGTCCACCTCGTGACCAGGTTACTCAGAGGCTCGGACAGTCCGTTGATGCATGAAAAAAAGGGACGATAGTGAGCCCGACAATAAGAGTATCCATCTTCACGACAAATCATCGCATTCCCCACCACAGAATAACTCATTATGACTGGGAAGACTGCCCACTGATGGCATAATACGGTGCTCTTGGTGAATAATTTTGTGTGACTGGAGGACTGGCAGTCAGGAAACTGATAGCTCATCTCTCGTTGCCAACTGTGTCCACCGTGTGCTCCACAGCATGTTGGAGCAGACACAGTGACCTGCACGTGAATTAGTTTAAAGTAATAGTGGACTTGCACAGTATCTACCGCACTCTCTCCTCCGCCGCTTGAACCCGGCGCCAAGTCATATTCAAGAAGACCGGAGGCGGTGGGGTGCGAGTGGGTCAGTATACAGGGGTTCATTCTCAATTTATACCCTATGACATCCCTGCTCACGCGAGAACGGATACACCCCCTTCTGTTGGCTGGTGCATGTGGATTCGAGCCAGGCCGTGTTTGGGGCAGGCGTGACGGGCGGTCAGGCTCTGTCAGCCACCTCCCTCAACCCCATCACCGGTCGCTGACAACCCCGCTGGGATCGTGTCTCCTTCTACAAAACACAGCACCATACATTCCTGGTAATCAGAAGGTAGTCGAGGAGTCAGGTGACGATTAAGGCGTCCTGAATCTGCAATTTTTCATAAAAACGTCACAGTGCCTCAGGTGGCTCTTCAACACTAACACCTTCATCTGGCGACGCACTTCTCGGAGGAACTGTTCGTCCAGAGCCAGTAGAAATAACTCCGGCCTTCTAATCGAACAATACACGACCTGATGCCGGTTCTTCGAACGCATATGGCGTCAGCACTTATTTTGAACAGCTTGAACTATTTCAGCTCATATTCCACACGGCAGCATCGGCTGGAAATCTCCGAAAGCGTATGTACGGCCGAATTCAAGGGTTGCACAAGCCAGTGATTCACGTAATTCGCACATGTCCATGCCAGTTCATATGTGCAAACTGCCGAGGATATGCATAGCCTTGACTTGTTAGTGTAGTGTAGGTAGTCTAGGCATGACTACTGAATGCCTCATGTCGTGTCTCAATAACTGGACGACATAAACCTAGACTGCTAAGAGCTTCTTCTGGGGATATGAGAGAGAGAGGTCAAGACCAGCATGGGGAATCTGCTGATATAGCAAATCGGCGCACCACTTTCGATAGGAAATTTGATGTACAGAGTTGTGGTTTGCAAGTTTTCTCAATGACAGTGTAAGTCGGTTTGTCAGAGAAATGAAAGCCAGGTAACGACGGTTTATTCTCCAGCTATTTCGCCTGTAAACCGACAGTACTGTAGCCAGACTTGAACTTACTTACTTACTTGTACTTGATACGGCTGCGATCATGCCTGATCTAGCCGACCTCGATGATGTCCCGAATTGTACCTCGCCACGCGTGACGATCCGCGGCCGCAGATCTAGACAGCTCAATTCATTCCCTTCGCCAATGACGGAGACCGAATCCCGAAGGTCCAAGAACCACCTCCATGTCTTGACGGACAGTGTCGAGCCAGGTTTTGAACTGACCCCCTCTTCGACGCCTCCAATTGGGCAACGGTGCCGGATCGAGGGCAGTAACACTGAGCTCCTGAGGTAGCCAGACGGAACGGACTGATTTGTTTGGTTGATTACTGATTCCTCGTCCATGTTCGGAAGTCTAGACATTGTCTTACCGTCAATGCAAGAGGTGTTAGAGAATATATTGCAAGGAAAACGCTGCTCCAAACTAATTCGTGCCGTCGACGTCAAGCTGTTGGCTGTTGTCAGCCAGTCATATCCAACCCGAAGTGTGGAAAACCCCAGGCTCGAACTCGCGACCGGTTGGTTTGAAGTCCAACGCCTCTAACCACTTACCGTTGATGTAAGATTTGATAGGGAATATATAGCAAGGAAAACACCGCTTCAAACTAATTCGTGCGATAGACACAAATGCTGCACCCAATCCGTATGGCGTGTGCCGTCTACGTCGAATTGTTACCGCGGAACATGTTTGATACCCCCTTCTGGCTGAAGTGGGTGGGACCTATGCCACCTTTCTGATGTCATATCCCAATGGAGCAGAAAGCTACAAAGTACTGAGCTGCATGACATTCCCTTCCACGCGGGGAGAAACACTCTCGGGATTCATAGTCAGCATGTAAAACTGATTGGCGAGACTGACTAAAAATGTCTTGTAGTCAATTTAGATTACGCCCAAGCAAGCGATAATCCTGAGTGTGTCCTTGACGATACTCCATTCTGACTCATTACTCATCACTTCGCTAGTGCCAGCAAGGGCGCTAGGTTAAAACCCCTGCCGTAGCTGGATGAGCATATCCCGTAGACGAATCTGTGAACGCAGGTCCCACGATGAATCGGTGCAGAATTTTGATTAGCAAGTCGAGAAAGTTTAGACTTTATTGTTATCAGGAAACACAGCGAATAATGGGATGCCTATGATATGTAGATGGGGTTAGCTGTAGATCCAAACTGACCTTACAGAAAAAATGGAATTGCATGAGCAGGTCAATAGGTCAAAGTCCGGTTGGTCTCATCACAGGACCAGTACATGTACTCTTGAAATAATCACTGGAATTCTCTGAAGAAGTCGAGTATGTCCGAGTAAATAAGCCTCGCGGCATCCATACCCCACACAAATTCTAGATGGTTGTAATGCGGCAGATACATGTCTCGAATGTAGGGCCGCTTCGGCAATTCAGCGAGAAGCCTGCGGACGTCCGCTGGTGTTGCCAACAAATCATCGCCGCCCCAGTACAGTTTCATCGGAATGTCCAAGTTGCTGAGACCGTAGACTGGAGGGACCGGTTGGTTATAATGACGCATATTCCCTTCCCTTCCGAAGTCGAAGGCTTGGAATTTTCCGTGGAAAATGCTCTGGACGTGAAAAAGTCATTAACGTGAATTTGCATTTCAACAGGGGCAGAGATAGATTGAAGGTCACATTGTAGGGACTGTACTTACTTGAATTAAGCTGACCGCTTTCGTAGGAGGCTTGAAGACCACTGCTATATTCAGGTAAGAAATATTATTCAAGACTTCATGCTTTCTTACTGAACGTCCTCTGAATTCTCGACGACGGTTTAAAAAAGGACGATGGGATACTTATGGATTTTTTCAAGCACCATATTGGCTAGAGATATTCTTCTGCGAAAGCTGGTAGATCTAATCTTCCGAGATGGTAGTACAAGCTATACTGAGTCTGTGGCATGGAGCACTATTCATAGAGGAATCTCCTGAAGGCTTCTACGTTGACAATACTCTGGAAATATTCAGGAAGACCTCCATGCAGACTGTTCAGTACTGACCAGCTGTCTATCTTCCGATATGGTGAAACCAAGGGCAGAGCAAGGGTAGTGGTTCTCTTAGGTTCTTAGTCTCAAATTCTTATTCTCCGAGGAATCTGCTTTCTTCGAGGCCTCGGCCTAAGGATGCTCTTGCAGACTGTGGGGATTTAGAATTGGTTTCGACTCAGGAACAGCGTTATCTCCACAAGTGCACAAGAAGTCCGCGCAGCTTTCGCACGACATCTGCTTCGAATACCCCTTATTTATGCTGCAGCAGGAACCGACAAAAAACACAGCAATTTCCCTATCCTCAGGACACCACAACGAAACCACAGTACCTGCCTACGACGACCAATCAGCAGAAGACAGAGTAGTGCCGGGCGAGAACTATTGTATCATAATTCACGAACTTTCAGTCCCACGCCTACACCCCGTCGAATTTGAATGTGTGGCCGGTTCTCGACGAATGAGCCGCAACTTGAGAGCTGGAGTTGCACACAGACCGGAGACAACCATCAGCATCAGGTAATGAAACCAGAAGACCCGATGCCCCGACAAGAAATTTCCGGAGTCATTTATCGAATCTGGTGCAGTTGCGGACAAATCAGCTACGTCGGAGAAACCGGAAGACAGCTTCGAACGCGAATGACCGAGCACGCTGCAGCAATGCGGAGAAATGACGCTAGCTCTCAAGTTGCGGCTCATTCGACGAGATCCGACCACAAATTGAAATTCGAAGAGACTGAAATTCTTGTAGAGGTGACAACCACGTGAGCCGGGAGCTACTTGAATCATGGTTCACTGGCCCCCCAGTTCATTAGCAAGTGCAATGCCCCTCCCCTTCCATACTCGGTGCTGAGACTTCGCCTAGGCGGAGTAATTAGCCACACGGAGAGCACACAAGTGAACACTGTTCCTAACGCCAGGGTTGATGGGTCAGATGGTCGAGCAATCATCACATCAAACATCAAACACATGTGATGAAAGTGAAGCAATTAACGAAGAGAATGTCGGCCATTAAATTGCCAGCACACCAAGTGCTGGAGGGAGTCGTGAATATTCATAGGTATGCGGTAGCATGGTGACAGCATCCTATACATACTGCAGCGCCTTGTGCATGAACCACCCGTATCTGCTATTGTCTCTGATGATCGGTCAGAGCAGGAATCCGAAATGTCAGGCGAATAAAGCTCTTGTCCCAGCGATCGTGTCTTATTCTTCACGAAATTAATCCTCTCCAGGCGTTCTCGACTGAAGCATTCAAAAAGTAGGTGCGCCTTTGGAAATGGATGCGAACCACGCTGTCCATTTTACAAGTACAGCATTTGAAGAAGACGTAATTTCCTTACAAATGAGTAGAAGAATGTAGATTTTGTGTCATGCGTTCAACTTCATACTGCTTATTTTACGGACTGTAGTTTACCCAGACGGTCAACAAGGAGTTCGACTGAAAACCGGCATCCCCGCGTGCCTTAGATGTTTTGGCATCATGCAACATAATATTTAATATCCGATATGAAAACGAATTTCATAGTTTTAACTAACATTTCACGGGATAGCACATCCACTGTAAATAAGAGTTGATGCTTATGTAATTGCGATCACAGACAGAATGCAATTATGCAAAAAACTCTCTTTTCAATGTTTTCTTCTTCGAGATTTCTGCATCCAAACATTCGTGTTGCTTAAGTTGTCATTTTGTACAAAAAGGGATATACGGCCGGAAAGAAGTTCGTTCGAAAGGTGGCATCCCGAGGTAACTGAATTATTGTAGAGATATGCTGAATGGTGATTAACCTTAAAACACTACTACGTAATCTTATTGCAACGAAAACCCATTTGAGGATCTCGGTTAACATTTCATGGGTTAGCACACCCACCGTAGGTGAACGCCTAACGGAAGCCATCAAGTTCTCATGAACGCAGGATACTAACTCAGTGACAGAGGGTTAGGCGCTGCATCCTTAAAATGTCTGCTTCGGAAGCGCTGTCTCGATTGTTCATCAGGGCCACACATTTCTGCTCCCTTTCTTCCTCCTTTAAAGAAGTTGGAAAACTCAATTTTACGATTCCTCTGCTCACGCGCGTTCTTAATGCCGTCTGCCAACAACACTAGCGCGTTTCCGGGCGATGTAGCAGTTCGACTTTTCTTCAGCGTCGACCACGCCATCAATGGCATACACTTAGGAAAATATCAGTAAGAAATCTTCCCGTCAAAGCTGGGCTCTGAAAGTCTCCTGCATCATCTGAAAGTCAGCCGAGATCAGTTGACGCAGGAAAGGAGCCTCAGTTCAACGGTAGAATCAACTACTTGCCTGAAAATAGTGGACCATATTTCGTACTGACGCACCCGCAGGCGTATGGGCAATGTAGACAGGAAGACGCGTCTGCGAATTAAAAGAAAAAAGTATCTCAAGGCACGGAAATTAAACAAGAAGATGGATGAGACACGGATGAATTGAACGAGGAGTTTACCCTCAGCCTAACAATCCAAGAATGATTGCTGGATTTAAAGTCCCTTTGTTGCGGACATAGAGATTGCAAGGCTAATGATACTAACGCGCTTCTTGATTTTACATAAGAGAGCTGGTAGGAAGGAAACTGTGATTACGTGAATGCCCACAAATCATTTTCCTTAGGAAGCCAAGACGGCTACACAAATGATTCCTTTCCTGATAGAGTAAGTGGCGTGTGGAACACCCTACTAAACGTCATCATCAACCGTTAGTGGGACCGACAGTCAGGAGCTTAAGGATCTCCGAGGGAACAATCAATGGGCCTCTGCTAAAGCGGAGTACCCTGGCAGGGCTGACTGGTGTATCATGAACTGGTCAAGTTACTACTCCGTGGAATGCGAAAAAATGCCAGTTGAGCGTCAGTCATCCGGCAGTGCCCGTTTTTGCCTCTCTGATTTGACGGTTACACCGGACATAGCATGCATTCTGACCATCAGGCCTTCTTTGGGGTTTTCAGCCCTGTTTGGGCAGTAAAACAACTACACCTTGAAAAAAACTGTGGATTATGACAGACAGGAACGGAGTTTAAACTGTACTTTAAAAAATCTTTCTAAAAAATGAACTGTCTCTTAATGTCGCATCCCTTTTTCTTTGCTGTCATAGCGTTAAATTTAGGGTCGCAGACATGTGGAGTGTCATTCAAAGGGATCAGCCTATTATTGCCGATAGAACTATACTTTGTCTTCTCACGAAGATATACTATCCGGGACAAATCGCCGGTAGAAGGTAGATTTTTCCCTTCCTCTACAAACAACGCGTCTCCTGAGGACACAATTCATCGGAACTTTGTTATGTAGATTAGTTCTCCATCCGTAGTAAGCCAATCTTTCCCCGCTTATCCGGCAGATCTACTTCCACCTAATTCTCCATCGAGTCACTTATGGTCGCAGCTTCAAGTGAAACCCACCATTTTGTAACCCCTGCATGGTACACTTATCACCAATGCAATGCATCAAATTTGACAAGACAGATTGATTTCGGCAGCAATGCTGGTTGCATCATCAGGCCGAATCAACATCCAGGACACATAATAGTCTTTAGGTCCGGAAACCGGATCGCTTACGACGGACTGGTCGGATCTTATTTCGTAGCCGCACCTGCTGTAGGCAAGCCCCCGCCTAACCCGTAACCCAAACCCCTGACCCCCAACCCTAAGCTATACCTCTAAACCTTAACAGGTGCGGCCACGAGATAGGATCTTGCCGACGGACTTAACGGTACCATCGAATATGCGACTGACATGCATAACCGAGAATATGTAAGTAGTCAATTAAAACAATGGAGGAACTGAACTCACTGTGTTAGTGTTTTCGAAGTCATACCCAGCCAGGCTATAGATGACATTACTACATATAAATGGGAGGGAGTGCTTGCTGCAGAGTAAGATTCCGAGAAAACGAGTGAGTGAGGATGACGGCATGAATACGCCACGACCGAACACGGCAGCAAACAATTCAATCTCCTTGAAAAAGGCTGACAAAAAACGAACATAACTCTTGAGGTTGGATAAGTAGGCTACTGGCGCCAGGGCAATCATTGCGGCAATTTTTGAGCGAAGGACTGGATCCGAGTTGAATTTGGCAAAGGCAATTTCTGTGCCCTAATGAAAAGGCGGGGAGGAAAAGCGCGTAAAGTTATTACGGCAGACCAACCTGTGAGTGACCAACATAAAAGAGCTTGTCTTTGCCCGTTTGATTAAGCACAAATTCAATCGTTGCAGGAAGATCTTTGTGCGCCATATCATCCCAGGAAAACTGCCAAAATTGTTCGCTTTTGGAATCGAGAGTTCTGTGTAATTGCGAGTAGGTGCTTCCTCGGCTGTTACTCATCCAAACATCGTATCCCATGTCGGAGAGAATGAAACCAAGGCTCTGATTGGCAAGATTACTGATCCAAACATGAGCAGATTCCAGGAAACCGTGTTGCAGAAGAACGACCTTTCGCTTTTCTTCTAGAAATGGATTCTTTGGGCCGATACGATGTACAGTAAGTAGATAACCGTCAGGAGTGTCGATTACATAACTTTTAGCTGAATAACCATTGCTTTCAATAACTTCATGCTGAAAGGGACAAAGCAATATAGCAGACTTTAGAAAAATGTTCGAATGCTGAAACGGCAAATTGATTTTTGATAATCATGAGTACAAGATAAATTCCAACGCTCAGTTACTAAGGCGCAAGCGATAAACTAAACGGTTTGGCGGCGGAAAAATTTAGCGATGTGGCATTTTATGAAAAAGTTCCATTGAACTGGCAGAGGGCGCTCACAGATCATTTTTACCAAATTCACTCCTCCCGTTGTGCCTAATGGATCTCTCCCTCTCTCGAGCCCAACCATCAGCCGCACAGCGACACGCAATATAGGAGGGATAGCCAACCCGGAGTAAGTTCCATAAAACAATCGGTGAGCGCGCCTCTAGCAGTGTATGTTTCCGATTGCAATTGACAAGACAACGAGTCCGTGGCTCAGTGATTAGAGGCGTTGGACTTCTAACCAAAAGGCCGCGGGATCGAGCCCCAGGTGTTCCGCACCTTAGGCTCAGGAATGGCTGACCGACGACGGCTGATATGCCAGAAACGGCCATTTTAGTCTCCCTTGTCTCTGTCGGACTTGGTGACCAGTAATTTCGTTGTATTTGACTGGTATACTGGCAAATATCAGCAGACGTACAACAATTAGCTGTACTAACGAATCGTGGGCTTAAAAATCATGAAGGGTCTGTTCAAATGACTAAACGCAAAAGTGTGTGCTAATTGCCAGTCCCCTTCAGAATCAAGCGGAGACGGGGAAAAATAATAATAGGAGACAGATAACAAAAAAGAAACACTTTCCACTTATGCCGACCAACGCTTATTTTGGATCGGCACGGTGTAAATTCGCGCCAGGGTTGCCAATGCCCAGTTCGCTGATGAGGAACTTGTCTATTTTGGATTACACCACTAATTATTTACTATACCTGATTTGCTCCTTTTGATTAGGGCCTTGACTGATATGCTCATTATTGCTGCGGTAGCAGGGCTAATCTTTAATTTTATTGTTAGCTTGAAATTGCTGTATCTCCGTTCTAAAAAGACAAAATACGTAGTGTTTGTTCTGCGAAATGAACTTGAAAACTTCATTAAAATTCAACAGAACTTACTAAAATTTAACGAAAACTGCCTCAAATAGGTAAATTAAGACACTGCGCATTGTGCAATTAAGTGAATTAGAATAAATGCGTAGCGAACTTTCAAATCCAAAAACATGTTGTGCAGACACACAAAAATTTAAAAACCAAGTGCTCTGCCATGTTAGCGGAAGCAAAAAGTGACCTGTCTGGATGCATGTTTATTTGAAACTAATAAAAAAAACGCATGGCACTATATGCAAGTTCAATACGTCTTGATCGTTTTTCGTTTGGGTTTACCACAATGACCGAACGCAATATTCATAGTTTCCACCAACTTAGGGAGTTGTTGGAGGTAAACCGCGTTACTTTTGCAAAGAAATGCAGCTTCCTAAGAGGCATATCTATTCGTTTGCCCTGTAAAAATAAGGTTGACAAAACACTGGGGATTTACGGAATGTTCGTCTTAAACAGCAGCTTATGAGGTTAAAAGATAAAGGTACTTTTTAGTACACGCGAGTTCTAGCCATTCGGTATAAACGAAACCGCACAAACGGTTACGAAGGCGCCGACCAATAACCTCTGTCAGCCCAAGCTCACGCCGTAATCTGAATTTAAAACTACACTCTAAGACAAAAACGAACTTGGACTTCGCATGTAACGGTGACTTAAATTCTGAAACAGAACTTAAACTTAATTCTTAACCCAATTTTTGCCCTTATATGAAATCTGACTACTGTCCGAACTTTAAACACAGTCCGCCATTAAACCACAATATGCTCTTGAGTTTGGGCTTTGCCTAAAAGCATGCGGATGTAGACATCCAGGAATACTGAAAGTGTTTTTGCGCTTGGCCTTGATCAAATAGGTTGATCGGCGAGTGTGTGTTAAAGGTAATCTAGAGGTACGCCAATTAATTGTTAACACTGTAGCACAGGGAGTAAAAAGCATTGTTAAGATGGAAGACAAAACAAAACGAGATTTGGGCGTAAGTAAATGACAAAATTAACCTTGAAATATGTATTTTAGAAAAGGACCAAAAGCATAAAAAGGATATTTCGAAGAAATCTAATATTCACAGTATACTGCAGTAAGACTGACAATTATTTGGATCATCTTGTTAACCCATCAAAGATTACAGTTTTAAGCTACCTTGGGGACCGTTAAAAGGCCCTCCCATTGTTGCCACTGATACGCAAATATGCCGGTCTCCCCGCTGACAAAAACGTAATTCTTTATGAAATCAACCGACATTGAAATACCAAAGACTGACGTCGGTGGCTTTCCGTGCGCACCGCCGTCGACAACCAAGAGCGCTTAAAAACATTAAATGATTGCACTATGCCTCTTACCGTTAATCGCTCGACAGTCTCCCTACTACTAATTCGTGACCAGAGCAGATTATCATGGCTAACGACGAGAATACCAGAGAAAAACACTGTCCTAGGCGGACTATTCATTTCCCGTTTGATCCAGCATTATGGGGTACAGGGTCCAATCTGCAGCTGTCATTGTCATCGATAGAGGTAACAAACATCAAGTTCATTTCTTTTTCAGGAGTCCTAAGTTTGGAGGTATTTCATTCCCACACATAAGTAAGCGTTTATTTAAATACAGCGTTCTCCCTAGCGAAAACCGACTACCAACACACACGCCGACGTCTAAAAAGTGCGCAACGGCATAAGAATGCTACTTCAGAGGCTTGTATGCGCTGGCTGATGAAGATTCAGGCGTGGAATATGAGGAACAACAAAGAAATAGAGTTCCTAATTAGTGTCCTGATGCAGAGGCCAAATGTCTTACCTGGTTGTTCCGGTATAACTGCCTCGCCTATTTGGCTACTTTTAAACTAATGGTTTCCATACAGGAATGGGACGTATTCATCAGTGACCTCTCCAACAGTGCATTTCGACAGCAGATGGTACGTAGACATTTACATTACTACCGGTAAACTCGACTCTACACTTCGCAACCCTTGGAGTTGAGAACACGAGCAAATTTACTGATCACATATTTCGTTTACTCTTTCCTGATTAAATATCCCCCCACCTGACCTTCAGTTGCAGGCACAAGGAAAGAGGGCCCTCCTCGGGCCCCCATATATGACGTAGTTGTGGGTAAGTCAAGTGTCCTCGCTTCATTCGTGATATATTACGCAGACGTTTTCACCGGCTTGACCACAAAAATTTCGAAACGTCTTCAAAAATACTTTCAGGAGGACATACGATTGGCTTCACAAACGTGGACAGAAGATCTCGAGATCTCATTCTGCGAACGGTCATTCAGCATTGACAATTCATGCGAACTGCTTTATTTATTTACTCCTCATATACTACTCTCATGTGTACTTTAAATTAGACGATGATCGCTCCCCTCGGGATAACCTTCAGCCAGTCCCCTATACCCAGATATGAAATAGCGTCCTTTCCCAACACGATGTGTAAGAAATATTTCTCACACTTTTAAAAGTGCATGCTTTAGAAATAACCATTTTTAGTAACACCTTTGCAGCCGCGCTGTACCTTCACGGTCTTACTATTCCTAAATTACACTTTAAGAAGGAGGTATTAGCCCAGGGACAGTGTTATAAAAAGGTAGGTTATGCTTAGTTATGCACTGACCTAGAATCTGTGCCTCAGCACAGATTCTCATCAGAACATTCTGGTTAAATTCGGCTGTGAATCAAATCAACTCTTCAGATTATTAAGTATGCTCGACTAGAACTTAGTGCTTACCACAGTTTGATAAATTTCAGGATCTACCCCAAGCATGGTAAGGCAATCTCGTGGCTTGTAGGGGACGCCTGAGACGACTAGAAAGTCGAATGCCACTAACAGACAGAGGGACGGGATTCCCATCATCTTGAGCGTCAAGATGCAAGTGAACGCTTCAAAGAGGACTCAAGGTTATTTAAGGTCATATGGTTGAGCTATTAAAACATTTACAATATCATGGTTGATTTCAAGTTTTTATTAAGAGCCGAATAAATGACAGGGTTGTGAAGAAATGCGTCGATATGCCTAGAAGGAATTTAACTTTCCAAGCTCTGATTTACACTTGCGGATTCTGGAAGACCATGTGGTGTGGTGATTATACACAAATTGGTTTCTAGTACTGGATCCAGTCCGAAACCTTAACTTCATAAACAGCGTAAAAGAGCTGATTAATGGCTGTAAGTCACAATTTGATTACAACTGGTGTGTCCTTGGATCCAGAAATTCTCTCAGTCGGTAAGGGTCGCTAAGTCAATATATAGGCTTAATTATATTAAACTATAACTAGTTAACTATAGTTAATCGGGAATATTTACAGTTCTAAATCTGCGATTTGAGCATATGGACAGGTCTTTGCACGCAAGTCTACCATTGACGTTTGAATTATTTACATGATATTGGATTGTCGTTTGTATACCGAAGACAGAAATTCGACGAGACTTAGACCTGCATCAGGCACACATACTGCCTATTATTCCTGAACAAGGAGAAGCTGATTAAAACTGCTAATGAAATAGTACGAGATGATAAAAAATATACGTCGAGCATTCGTTTTTCTCGCAGGTCCCAGAACGTAGACAGAAAGTGAAGTCAGTTTACTCCAGTACGCGAAAACTGTCCAATATAATGATGGTAAAATAATGGTTAGTCGACTGACGCACCCACGATCTGCAACGCAGAGTTGTTCGAGATAAGTTTAAGCGCGTGGGATTTATAGCATTGTTAGATGCACTTGCGTGTCCTTATGTGGATTTCTTAGTTTCCAGCTCACTTTCCTCCTCTAATTATATGCACCAGCGAGTGGATAACGCATTCGACGTATTAGGAAAAGCGGCGTGGAGGCCTGATTTAATGGTGTACACGCGCATTTTAGGCGGTATTAATGAATATACAATGCCGTATGCAATATCACATGTCTGGATAACGCTGATATAACACTGTTTCAATAAATCGTAAGGGGTTATTCCGGAATTCCTCCGTTGTCATCTAGTCGCGTTCTTGTGCAAAGACCCTACAGGACACAAGTTTAAATGAACACATCGAATGACTGCTGGGGTCCCGCCTGTGTTCGCGTTTTCCAAAAACGTTAGAAAATGTCTTGGTTAAGTTCTTCCATCAGGGATACGGCGACCTCATAGACCGAAATGTCCTCTAAGTCTTGTAAATTGATGAGAAAAAATAGCAGATTAATTAAATTATTCAGATGTAAGCGGCCAAATTTTACTGGATTCTGGAATGTCCGGGCGACCATTCACTCACAAGTAGACAACTACGCATAGCTCTTGTGGGAAGAAGCCAAAGGCCGCCTTAATTACGTGCGCTGGAATCATTGCATTAAGATAAGTTCTGTCTTTTCCATGTACTTACCCAGGTCACCTTCCGTTCAGGACAATTAAGAAACTTTCTACACACAGTTAAAAGAACAGCTAGAAAGATGTTCTCGTACCGATCTGCCCATTGTTGCAGGGGGTTTGGATTGTCAAGATGGGTTCAAGGACTATTCTAGCGGCTCGCCTTTTTGCCCGTTTTGGGCTTGGTTCTCGATGCGACAGTGGTCAGAGAATACTGATCAGAACCGTGTATGTGCCACTAAAACGTGCATCCTGCATCACACCAAACATTAGCTGGTCTGACATTCAGACGGTGACCATGACGCCATTCGAACTGACTGTATTCCGGGCATGTCAAGATTTACACGCTCTGTTCATGTTAAACGCTCTAAACATAATTCTGAAACTGATAGCGCCTGTAGGTCAGACCACTTCTGCGCTCGCACACACCCGATAGTTTCAACTCTGGCCATAAATTTCCTCCATAGAGCTCCAATGTCGTCGATCACATAACAAGCAGGAATATAATATTGACATAAATTTTGCCTACGGAGAATGTCCCTAAGTGGAACTTTCAGTAAAATGTTCATTCGCATTTAAAAATCATCAGTCGTCTGTTTTTAAAAATATGTCTATATTAAACAGAAATCTTGCGTGACAGTTCAACTGTTAATTCATCGATATTGATATGTCGTCGAAATGGTCCCCATTCTTCATCTGAATCTTTGCCCCACCACTCGATAACGACTTCTCACGATTTACTGTTTTCTGGGCTTTATACATATAATTTTTAGAAACATGTTATTTTTCACAATCGATTCTTGAAGTCTCATTACCACTATTTCAGGAAATCGGAGAATAACCAGAACAGAAATAAGCTGCTGGTCCCTTTTTCCCAATGCGAAACGTTAATGTACCCATTTGTGTAATTGCAGCAAGACAAGACTGCTCGACTTCCATCTATACCTATTGTCAATATGAACCAACCAGGTGCTAATGCGCTTAAAAATTTGCATAAATTTTATGTCTCAGTATGGATTGCTTTTTTTCCTTTTTGTTTTCAGGTTTGAAGAAAATATGTCTGCTGCTACTTCTCAGCAGAGTGCGTAACCTTCATCCGCCTTGTTGCCATTGGGGCCTCCGATTGGCAATAATAAAGCTTCGCATTGTACATCAGGGTACGCTAGCCCAAGAAAGGATTCCGTCGTCATTTTGGAAGAGAATCACCGGTACTAAATTGCGAACATCGGAAAAAGCTGATGGTAAATATTAACGGAAAACCTAACACAGTGCCGGTATGCAGAGATTCTGATCTGACGCCAGCCACCGTGAGCCCGTGGAAGAATAATGATTTACCACAACTGGAAACATCAGATGTCACAATATGGGCGTCGCATGAGACACCGGGGAATCCGACGATCTCTGTGCTTCGGTGACTCGTTACAGTCTTCTGAGAAATAAAACAATAATCGAGGTAGGATTCTGAAACCGTCTCTTTGACGAAATTTTCAGCGCAGGGAACAACGCTACAGAAGACGTCTAGAATGGAAGGTTACGGAACGAATGCAGGACATGATCGGTAGGTAAACGGGGATGAAATTAACCTGAAAGTAAAGTCGGAGTAAAAGCCAAATTTCAAGCACGGTTTACGGGTTCTATTGTATGTAGAAAACGAACTAGAAAGACTAAAGGCAAAAGAAATGTATCCTCCTATAAACTATTTATCCTGGGCTTCTGAAGTCGTAGCTGCGAGGGAAGCTAGCGGTCAAATACGATTTTGTACAGACTATTCCGTGGATATGAATTACGCATTAGAAGATAACCGCTAGCCACTACGAACTTTACACCAGTTTTCCGCTACTCTGAATGCAAGGAAAGTTTTCGAAAGTATTAATCTCTCGGTGTCATACCAACAGTTACCGGTCGATGAAGTAGAGTAAGAGATACTAATTATTAGTGAACACAAGACTTTGTTTGAGTTTACACTTCTCAACCATAGCATCAAAATATCAGCAAGCATATTCCAGCAACTTATGGACCTCATGGTTCCTAGTGTCTCTGGGACGGTTGCCTACATGAATAACATTTTAGTTATCAGCCAAACGGACAGGAATCTACTCCATAGGTTTGAATGGGTCATGTAAAATCTCATTGACAATGGCCCAGAATTTCCTCGGAAGGAAACCCGCAAGCTAGTTTTCGCGCCAAACGAAGGTTGCTGAATTAAGGACGCTCATGAAACAGAACCTCGATTACCAGGATCGTTCCAGTGATAAGTCCAAAAAGGAAGAGCAAGAAACAAAAATCGCGAAAAAAATATCGTCTCGGGAGCATCTCTAAGCACGGGTAGCAACTTAGTAATTATACGCGTGGGTGCCCGTAGCAGCAGGACAACGACAACGAAGCCGCCAATAAGAAAAGACTCGATTTCCACGCCAGACGACCTAAGCGATGTCATAAAATTATTAACTGTCGCGGGCATGAATGTTCGCTGAAAACTGAAGACATCTTTGAATTTACGACCACAAGTCACCTGCGCGGTCATCCGTACAAAGTCAAGCGGGAGCGTACACGCCTAGATCATCGGAAGTTTTCCTTCAGCCAGCGTGTTTTTCGACCATGGAACTCACTCCCAAGTGAAATAGTGACATCTGATACAATGACTGTATTCAAAAGGCAGCTGGATCGATTGATCATTGATAAGCGACGACTCTCACTGCAGGACTATCTGCTGCCAGCCGTAAATTTCATTCCTTGATTTCATCCCTATATAACACAGTCCTAACGTTTTATGAAATTTTCCCTCTCAAACTATGCAAAATGACTGAACGTTATGCCGCCTGTATATAATTACACTTAAAATTTCATATGTACATTGAAAAGACCGCCCCTCGCACACTTTGCACTCCCGCACTGTAAAAACGTTTTTCGTAGACAAATATGTTACTGACAAAGTTTTAGAAAGATGTGCATTTAACATTTATGTTGTATGTACCGTTTCATTATGGCCATCAAGGGCACTGCCTATAACCCTAAAATACACTATTATTATCATTATTATTTTTATAGGAATTAACGGGGACACTCTCCAAGCGTCTAGGCCAAGATTTACATCCGATTACCGTCTGCTAAAAGAACATTACACGCGTCTCTCACTCGGCATGTAGTGTTTCCAAGGAGAACATAGGAAGGACAAAGGGCGGACTGCCTGAATTTAGTTCTTAGGAAATCATCAGACAGCATAGACGAGATCATCTGCATGCCGCCCCTTGGCTGAAATGACCATGTAGTGCTGAAGTGGGATTATTCGTTATTCGCCATTTCGCATACGCCAGACCTGAAAAGACGCAATGTTTGGCGGGTCGACTTCAATGAGATGAGGGCAGACTTATCCGGTCTCGACTGAAGCTGATTGTTTACGGGTAATGCCAACGATGACTGGGAGTTATTCAAGAATGTCCTTCTGCAGCTCATCAACAACCACTGCCCACTAACTAGTGTAAGACTGAAAAAACGTCCTGGGTGGCTAAATAGCAA